TCAGCTTTCCTGCTCCTCTGATGCTGCTTGGCCTGCTGTGTTCATCCAGCTCTACACCTTGTTATCTCAGATTCTCCAGCATCTGCAGTTCCTACTATCTCTGAATCAATTACTAAGATGTAGTTTGGAAAGGATAATAAATGCTGACCTTGCTAGCATGTCCATATCCTATGAATGAGATAAAAAGTACTCCACATGAACGTCCTCCCGAATAGAATGGGCATTGGGAAGATGTTTCAATTAGCAGGAGAGACTAGGACCTGTGGGCACAGTCTTAGAGCAAAGAGAAGACTTTTTAGAATGGAGATGAAGAGAAACTTCTTCAGCCAGAGAGTGATGAATCTATGGAATTCATTGCCACAGAAGGCTGTGGAGGCCAGATCATTGAGTATATTTAAGACAGAGATATATAGGTTCTTGATTGTTAAAGGGATCAAAGGTTACAGGGAGAAGGCAGGAGAATGGGGTTGAGAAACTTATCAGCCATGATTGAATGGTGGAATAGACTTGATGGACCGAATGCTCCTATGTCTTATGGTCTTATGATCTCCTACCCTGCTTCATATCGCCCTATCAGTATATCTTACAATGATCAACAGTTACAGGCCAATCAGCTTGACCTTATCATGAGAAAACTTCCAGAAGATCATCTGGGGCAAAATCAACAGTTATTTGGATAAATGTGGATTCATTAATTAAGCAAAGCCAGCAAGGATGGTGGCATTTGCAGCAGTGGTGGAGTGACTGATCTCTCTACTGAATGATCGCTTGGACCTTGAGAGTTAATTTGGACCATCAATCGGTTCTTGGTAGTCGAGATGGGCCCGGTCCTCGAGAGTTGAGACTGTCTCCTGGCTAATTTTAATTTTCATTGCCTTTGTACAAAATTTTGTGCCACACTTGGACAGTTCTCACAGCACACATAGCACACTAATGGAAAAGCACTGGTTTATAGCCTTCTGGACTCATCACCAACCTCAAAAATTTTAGAGATAACACATTGTGGAGCTGGAGGAATATAGCAGGCCAGGCAGCATCAGAGGAGTAGGAAAGCTATCGTTTCTGGTCGGGACCCTTCTTCAGAAATGGGGGAGAGGGAAGGAAGCTCGTAAGTGAATAGAGAGAGGAGGGTTGGGACTGGGGAAGGTAGGTGAGGTGGTGACAGGTGAGTGCAGGTAGGCAGTGGTGGAGATTAGTCAGTGAGGAGGGAGGAACGGACAGGTGGGAGAGAAGATGGACAGGTTGTGTCAGGTCAAGGAGACGAGAGGGAGGGTTGGTAATGGGATGAGGCCAGGGGTGGGGAGATTTTGAAACTGGTAAAGTCCACATTTAGGCCATTGGACTGTAGGCTCCCAAGGTGGAATATGAGGTGCTGCTCCTCCAGTTTTTGGATGGCATCAATGTGACACTGGAGGAGGTCCAGAATGGACATGTCGCCCAGGGAGTGGGAGTTGAAATGGTTCGTGACTGGAAAGAGTTGTCATTTGTCACGAACAGAGCGCAGGTGCTCTACAAAGTGGTCTCTGAGACTCTGCTTGGTCTCACCGATTTGGCTGATCAGTTAGAAGGTTTTAATTGATTAATATGTATATGTAAATCCCCAAATTTCTTTCAAGTCACTGCCCTGAGAGAACTAAAGGTTTGATCAGTGTAAAAAGCTGACATTGTAGGTTAGACAATGCATGTTAGGTGTGAGGCCTTGTTTAGAATCAGGGTTTACATATTCATATTATTCAATTAAAACTTGCTAACTGATTAAAGATTTAACAGCACCTTGGGTTTGTTTAGTACATCTCATCAGTGGTGTGACCATTTGATCTTTTAATAAATTCTGTGTTTTGTATGCTTCTTTCTCACTTTACCTAAAGAAGAAGTTACTCTCCGAAAGCTTGCGTTTTCAAATAAACCTGTTGGACTATAACCTGGCGTCGTGTGAGTTTTGACCTTGAAAACCCAGTCCAACACGGGTACCTCCACGTCAAGTGGATGTTGGCAGCCCTACCTCGGCTCCAGGCCACTTGGCTTTCCTTCCTCACGGTCCAGGTGTGTCCCGAGGGTCGGGCTGTTACCTGGCGGCGGCCGGGGCTTGACTCCACCCCCACGCTCCAGTTGGTTCCGAAGCCGAGATGGGCGGTGCCGTTAAGGTGATGGGGTCTCTGCGCCTGTGTGCTGCCCGCCTCGCGCTGCGGCCGTTGTAGGGGGGCTTGAGCTTCCAACCGAAAAAGGGGGCGGGGATGGCTGGCGCGTGCGCGCGAGGCGCCAGGCTCAGCCAGGAGCAAGCTCCCAGCCCCGTAGCCCGTCAGATCGCGCAAGAGCGCGGCCAGAGCGGCGGCAACCGTTTTGCCGGCCGGCTGCGACAGGGAATCCTGAAGTGAGAGATACGCACGTACTGAGAACGATGGCTGATCCTTTACGCCGGACTCTCTTCGCCAAACTGAGGGGCAAGAAGTCCAAGAAGTCGGCGGGCGTCGGGACGAGGAGCCAGGAAGGTAAAGCGAAGCTTCCCGAAGAGCGGCAGCAGCAGCAGCAGCTACAACAAGAGGCCGGGCCCGGGGTAGTGGTGGTTGGCGGTGCGAAAGTTTTAGCGGGGTCGGGGAACAACGGAGGAGAACAGGAGCAGCAACAGGAGGAGGAGGAGGATGATGAAGAAGAGGAAGAGGAGACCATCAGGAGGAACCGGTGCCCCGCTACCGCCAGCGACCGGGGGTGGCAGAGCCCGGTGCGAGCGGACGAGCCCTGGCTCGAAGCCGCGGGGTGTCAGCCGGACAGCGGCGGGGGGCGAGTGGCGGCGGTGGGGGGAGGGGGACAGGTCTCCCCTCTCCCCCCCTCTGCCCCCCTCCTGTCCCCCGGCCGCAGGCAGTCCGTGCACTCGCTGGACAGCCAGGAGGACGATTACTACGACAACCCGTGCCTGCGGGGCTGCGAGCGGCCCCCGCCGGGAGGCCCGCCGCTGCTGCCCGCTGCCCTCTCCCACAACTGTGACTGCAGCAGGCACAGGAAGCACAGCCTCGACAGTGCCCAGGAGAAGGAGAGGCTCAGGACCCAGTTGCACGAAGCCTATTACCTGCTGATCCATGCCATGCATGACATGCCGGTGGAGAACCTTGCCCGCCATAGACTGGGTGATGTGAGCTGCCAGTCGCAGGATAGTGTCTGCACCCAGTCGTCAGTCAGGGCTCTAGACAGTGATGCTTGGTCCTCTGATGAGATTAGCCTGCAGCAACAGGTATCCGATGCGGATTCTCTGTCAGGTAAACGCAGCGGGTCCCCCAGGAAAGAATTTGCCAGCAAAAGCATTGCCAACCTAGTCAGTGGGGTAGTTAGACCGCCCTTGCCACGATCAGTAAGTGATGGGGTTATTAATTATGCTCATGTGTCCTGTCTCGCTGACTCTGGTGTGGAACGCGAACAGTCAGAACACGGTATGCTGAATCCTGCCTTCAGCAGCCTTGGAAACGCGGGCCAGGCTTCCTGCAATGCTGGGAGCTTCGGTCCCAGCTCCTCGCCCTGTGCCCTTCATGCTTCAGTGTGTGCACAGGGTGCAGTCCAGCCTTATGAAGGTAGCCCGATATTGTTCAGTGACTCTAGCTGTGAAGTGAATAAGTTTAGAGATTCCAGTGACATGGTCTGTGGATCATGTGACAAGCAAGATGATAGCCAGGGATGCTCTTTAAAGCCACCTGCGGTGACAGTCAACAAAATGCAAGAATGGATGCACAGAGGACGCATGCTGTCCTTGGAGATGAAAGAGCGTATTAGTGGGTCTGTCAGAGTCAGTATGCCATCTGGTTCACTGTCAGGGCAGGCAACCAACAAAGAAGTAGAAGTACAGAAGACCAGCTTCCCTGCTTCTGTAAGAGTACAAGGAAACAAACCAGCGCCGTTCCCTACCAGCCAGAGTCTCTTGCTGACAGGTAGGCAGTTGCTGCGGCAACTGGATCACTTCTTCATCGGGCCTTATGTGTGGATCTGTCGTCCAGTGTGGTGTCCAGCTGGTGTCTTACTCTCCAGAATAGGCTGTCTGCAAATGGAATTCTGCCTCTTGTCTCTTTGGTGACTAACACTGGTGGAGGCTCTGTTTCCTCAGACTATTGAATTTGAATTTTAAAGGTGGAAGTAGGCTGTCACTAATATTGGTTTATTGGTGCATGATGTGCTAACTTTTTATATACCTATGATTTAAATGGTGAATTTATAATTCTCTTAATCGAGTAGTGACATTTTGTAATGTAAGTACTGTATGGTGTTAGTTTTGTACTTATTGCATACTTATTGGTTTATAATCACTTTAAATATTTATTGATGGAGAAAGTATCATACGAAGTATAAATCTTAATAATTAAAGATTAGGTGAAATTGCACCCTCCAACCCCCAGCAGTTTGCAAGCCCCTGTTCGCATTCTAAATGCTGTATTTTTGGGCACCATCTATTGCTTTCTATTTGACAGATGAAATTAGGATGCTTGTGTATTGTTTTCTTTTCTTATTTGATTTACAACCTACATTTACGTATAACCAGGCTTGAATGTACATTATTATAGGTGGCTGTTTGGCCACAGAAAATATTGTGTGAAAGAAGTTGAGTATTTGTTTGAACAGTGAACACTGTAAAATAAATGATAAAGTAATCATTGTGGTACGTTCGAGTAATGCCAGGTAAAGTCTAGCTTTATAGTTCAGTTGCAGCGTCTTTTAGAGCAAGTGCAAACTCTTGAATTGCTTTGTAAAACTAAGCTTATTTGATTTGTCATACAGGGAAAGCAGTGCTTCACTATTTTGTTGAGCCAGATTTGGTCTTGCAATGTCACGTCGTTGCTTCTGGAGTAGGATGGTCATATGATATGTGACTAAAATAACATACGTAATGGACAGCTGTGTGTTTAATTAAAATGTTGTCAAGAACATTTGTAATTTATCAGTCATCTTTAGGGGTGCATCAGAACTTTATCAATTTCATAGAATAGACTCCCTACAATGTGGAAACAGGCCCTTCGGCCCAACAAGTCCACACCGACAATCAGACATCCCACCCAGACTTATTCCTCTATAACCCACCTAATCTACGCATCCCTGAACACTACAGGCAATTTAGTATGGCCAATCCACCTAGCCTGCACATCTTTGGACTGTGGGAGGAAACCGGAGCACCTGGAGGAAACCCACGCAGACACTGGGAGAATGTGCAAACTCCACACAGACAGTGGCCCGGGGATGGAATCGAACTCAGGTCCCTGGCGCTGTGAGGCAGCAGTGCTAACCACTGAGCCATTGTGCTGCCATATTTCTCTCGGACGCTTACAGCATAGAAGGACATTTCCATGCTAGTCAACAGATCTGACTACACTAATCTCATCTTCCAGCTTTTGACCCATTGCCCTGGAGGCTATGACAATGCACGTAAATATCTAATTACTGTTTAAATGTTATAAGAGTTTCCAACTTGACCACTTGTTCAAGCAGTAAGTTCCAGATTCCTACCACCCTTGGTGAAAAACATTTCTTTTCAACTCAGAGATAGTAGGAACTGCAGATGCTGGAGAATCTGAGATAACAAGGTGTAGAGCTGGATGAATACAGCAGGCCAAGCAGCATCATAGGAGCAGCTGCTTGGCCTGCTGTGTTCATCCAGCTCTACACCTTGTTATTTCTTTTCAACTCTTCTTTTAGCCTTTGTCTTACCTTAAATCTGTGATCCCAGGTCATTGATTCCTCTACTAATAAAGTGCCAACTTATCTACCATATTTTTGTGTTTCATAATCAGGTGCACTATCGATCTTTATTTTTAGAAGGCAAATAAGCACAGTCTCTCAAATCTTTCCTCATTGCACAGACCTCGTGTTCAGGCAAGTATTCCAAATGCTGCCTTAATTGCCTTATCTACCTTCAGCAGTCTGTGAATATGAACAACAGGGTCCCCCTGATATCGGTATGTACCAGGGTTCTACAATTTGTAGTGTAATGCCTGGACTTACTCACTGAACTTGAAGCACTGGTTCTGTTTTTCTCTCCATGGAAGCTGGCAGACCACCTGAGTTTCTCCACGTTAAGTTTTTCTTTAGTTTTCTGTTCTTTCTCCAGCATCCAGTTTTGTTTATCGTAGTGTAACCCCTTGCCATGTTACCTCTCTTCAAATACATTACTTCTCTTTTTTTTCCAGGTTGAATTCCATATGTCATTGTACTGGTCAACTGACCAGTTCATTAATGTCACCCTACAGTTTACCCTTGTCACTATTTAGCATCCCTCCATTTTCATCTCATTCTCAAACCTTTTGATTACATCCCTATTTTTAAGCCCAAATCATTAATGAAAACTGCAAACAATGAAGGCCACAGGATCAAGCCTTGCAGTCACAGACACATCCCTGTACCATTGCCCTCTGCTTGCTGCCCTTTAACCAATTTAGGATACAGTGCTGTACCTGCCCCTACACCTCCCCCCTCACCCCCATCCCAGGCCCCAAGAAGACCTTCCACATCAAGCAGATGTGCACCTGCGCATCTGCTAATGTGGTATACTGTATCCGCTGTTCCCGTTGTGGCCTCCTCTACATCGGGGAAACCAAGCGGAGGCTTGGGGACCGCTTTGCGGAACACCTATGCTCAGTTCGCACTAAACAACTGCACCTCGCGAACCATTTCAACTTCCCCCTCCCATTCCTCAGACAACATGTCCTTCCTGGGCCTCCTGCAGTGCCACAACGATACCATCCGAAGGTTGCAGGAACAGCACCTCATATTTCGCTTGGGAACCCTGCAGCCCATTGGTATCAATGTGGACTTCACAAGCTTCAAAATCCGCCCCCCCGCCCCCCCACCCCCCCAACTTCATCCCAAAACCAGCCCAGCTTGTCCCCACCTCCCTAACCTGTCCTTCCTCCCACCTATCCCCTCCTCCCACCTCAAGCCCCATCTCCTACCTACTAGCCTCATCCTGCCCTCTTGACCTGTCTGTCCTCCCTGTACTGACCTATCCCCTCCCTAACTCCCCACCTACACTCACCTTTACTAGCTCCATCCCCGCCTCTTTGACCTGTCTGTCTCCTCTCCACCTATCTTCTCCTTTATCCATCTTCTATCCGTCTCCCCCTCTCCCCCTATTTATTTCGGAACCCCCTTGCCCTCCCCCATTTTTGAAGAAGGGTCTAGGCCCGAAACATCAGCTTTCCTGCTCCTCTGATGCTGCATGGCCTGCTGTGTTCATCCAGCTCTACACCTTGTTATCATAGGATACAGTGTGCCACTTTCTGTTGGAACTTGTCTTTCTTGACCAGTCTACCATGAAAGACCTTATGAAAAGTCTTTCTAAAGTTGATGTAGACCATATCAAAAGCATCAAACTTCATCAACACTCCTGGTTTTCTCTGCAAAATATTCAAATAAAGTTGTCAAACACATTATTCCCTTAACAAATCCATGATGACTGTGTGGGTTTTTATACTGCTATTGTGCATTTTATAAATTAGAGGAAAACAATGAAGACAGAGAGCAATCAATCCTTCAGCTATTTGATGTGTTCCATAGAAGGATATTATCACTAGGCTATTAATCCCGAAGTGCAGGCAATGTTCTGGGGAACCTGGTTGCATCCCACCATGGCAGATGGTGGAATTTGACATCAGTAAAAATCTGGAATTGAGATTCTTGTGATGCCTATGAAACCATTGTCGATTGTTGTGAAGAATACACATAGATCAGGAATGTCCATTAGGAAAGCTAACTGTCTTCCTTACCTGGAGATAGTAATAACTGCCAATGCTGGAGTCAGAGACAACACAGTATGGAGCTGGACGAACACAGCAGGCCAGACAGCATCAGAAGAGCAGGAAAGCTGACGTTCCAGGTCGGGACCCTTCAGAAATTTTCTACCCATTAGGCAGTGAAAATGGGCAATAAATGATGCCTAGCTATTAACACCCACGTCCTGTGAGCGAATTTAAATAAAACAGGTCTCTCATTTAAATGCAAGTTGAGAGGTATTTAAGAGCTGGGTATCAACTTCATTTAGTATAAGAAAATATAATTGTTTCATTTACTGTCTATAAACCTTTAATCTTTTTTAGTGGTGAACTTTCTATTATAAACTTATCCATTTGTAATCGAAACATGCTGTATTAATTTTTCACTCTAATTGCAACCACACTTGAGTGGTGATACCTTAGCAAATAAAAACTGAAAGAACTGCACATACTGTAAATCAGGATCAAAACCAGACGTTGCTGGAAAAGCTCAGCAGGTCTGGCAGCATCTGTGAAGAGAAATCAGAGTTAATGTTTTGGATCTGGTGAACTTTCCTCAACGGTTCAGAGGAAGGGTCACTGGACCGGAAACGTTAACTCTGAGTTCTCTTCACAGATGCTGCCAGACCTGCTGAGCTTTTCCAGCAATGTCTGTTTTTGTTCCTGATTTACAGCATCTGCAGTTCTTTCAGTTTTTACTACAGTTCCACAATGTTTAGAAGAGTTACTAGTGGTATTAAGTGCTTTAGCTTGAATGGTGCCCGAGTAAAAAAATTTTCAAAATGGCATGGGATTCTTCTGGTAGATTGCTGAATGAGCAATTTAACATTTTAATATCTAATTGGGATTTAGTCTAATATAAATGCCATTCAGTTGTCATGAATTGTGTTTCCCCTGGTGAAACTTTTTTTCTGGTGAGGGCTTTGGGTTGTGAATATACAATAATGTGTCCCCCTGCTCCAATCTGATGGCACAACAATTATCAAGAAATCTTGACCCATGGAATTCCAGTCATCGTTGTGGGAGAGAACGTCTGTACGTGTTGTCCTAGTGAGTTGTCTGAGATTTTGTTCCCTCCTCCTTCAAATTTTCTCTTCTGTCTCCTCTGAAGATTATAGTTAGTGATGAGTACTGTTCCAAAGTTTGTATCTGTGCAATATTTTAGAATCATAGAA